GTTCAAAATTTAAACAATGAATTTTGAACTTTTAATGATATCATTGTAACAACTAGGATGGAAAGGTCTGTTTTCAACTGTGCAGGGCAAAATATGAGCATTTTGCAGTTGATTCTGGATTTTTATTTTTATTTGCAAATCAGAAAAAAATGAAGCGGGCGAATCCGTTAACCAAGAAATTAAATTGGTGTGGCCTAATGAAGGCAGCAGTGTTCTAGCCAGCCTGAAGGCCATCATCTTAATTCTGTTTCATGTATTTTGTGACACGTACATGTAACGTCATGTTGACCGGTGCAACAATCCTTGGGAGGGTGGGGGGGGATCCGATGCATGCTTCCCCAGGAAAATTTTGAAATGTTGACCCTCTGAAATGCTATTGCCTGCATTTCAAGGTACAAATTTTGCTGGTAGAGTAATCTTAATGGCATCTCTTTCCATATATTACAGGCCGATTTTTGTCTGTCAAAGATGACAGATTGGGCAAAGTGTTTTGTCGATAATAAGCAGCAAAATTCGGTTAAATGATGGAAAGTCAAATGCTGGGAAGTTGAAATGCTTTTTTCATAATCATCAAAGGCAATATATTGCAAAAGAAATATGTTTGGTAACTGTTCCAGCCATTTTTAGTTGTTGACTATGTCATGATATACGCTTTTTTAAAATCATCTCTACCTGTGTGCATTAAAGACAATAAAATAAATTTTAAAAAATGGCATGACTATGTATTGATCAAACTCCATTGTTTTTTTTAGCTATGCAACATTTCAACATCAATCTAGGAGACACAAATGTGTCCCCCCCTCCCCAACCTGCAATGGAATCATCCAAATATATCATGGGATATTCTGAGAGTTTTCTGCTTTTCACTGTAATTGATTTAGTGTGAAAAATGTTCGATGTCTGTGTGTTGGCATATAAAGAATTACAGAATCTCTGTGTACTGAACGTTTTCTATTGATCTGTTAATACAGGCTTGTCAAGTTTAATATCTCAGAGGGTATTGTTTTAACATTGTCATGATGAACTTTTAACCCTACATTACATTTTAAATGCCTCCTATTTTTTTTAATATTCAAAGTATTCTTCAAATGTTTATTCACTCAGAACTCTCTTAATTAAGAGCAAAATACCCCCTTGTCAAATAAATGGTACATTCCTAAAGAGAAATAATTTGGTTGGTGGAAACTTCTTCCTAATCTAACGGTATTTCTTTAAATGTTTGTGGCATATTTTTCTTCTATGTTTTACTAGTAACTGTACTACAGAAAGGTTTCAACAGCAAACACCAGGAAAATCTCCTTTCCCTTCCTGATACAATAATTAAAGTCTCAGGAAAAATAAAGGCTAACGTATGTACAGTATTTTGCAGTTGTGTGGGAATTACAGATTATCTGTAAAGTTGGAAACGTTACACAGCATTAACTTTTGTCCTTGAGACATATATCTCCATTTAACAAGTCAGGATTTCTGTTCTTTCTGATTTCTTCTGACTCTGTTCAATCTCAACGGTCACCACCAAACCCCTCTGTGCTTCCAAACTGAAGTATATCCTATAAAATAAGGTCCCAGGCTAAGATTTCTATTCATCGGTGGGCCATTTTCGTTAACTCTCTTAAAATTACTTTTCTTTTTCAAGCTGAGGATTCTGAAGGACGTGGTTAGTAAAGTTACATGTCATTTTTATGCAATGACAACATCAGGCAAAATGGCTATAAACCACGGGTCTCCCATTCTCTGCAAGTTTTTAGAATTGTCATTATAAATCTTGAACTACAAATCTTATTTCTTTCTCTCATCAGGGTGGACCGATTTTGATGCCCAAAAGACCGGTTGAATTATAGCAGAAGAAACTCATAAAGAGAACAAGCCATCCATTTTATAAGCATATCCATGCATTCTTTATTCAAGTCCTATGTTAGAAACAGTTGTAACACTTCATGATACCACCAATGGAGAGCTTCAACAGTGTCTCTTAATTTGGCAATTGCTAATTACGACTGTGCACTTTGCGTTTCTCCACAAATGCATGAAGGATGCTCACAAATAATAATTAACATTTTTAAAATAATATACAGATGGAAGAATGCGTCCTCAGAGTGCATACATCCAGGAGTTTGGAGTTTAAGTGCACGTTCTATGTGGACATTTGTAAATGCCTCTGGTACCTTTTTACTACCCCTTTGCTTATCAACATATCTCTGATGGCACACACCTGTGGCGCATGTTTATAGACTAACAACTAATTGGTACACAGAGCTTGTAAACAGCGTGAACTCAGCATGTGTCTAAACAAAGGTGCTGTCATCTTCTGTCTTCACTTTTGTACATTATTTCCGTTTCCTGACATTTCACAACCCTGGGATAATAATGATGTACAGGGATGACGCAGACACACGATAACTTAAAGAGGTGCCGCTGTAATTCGGGTCCCCTGAGGTTTACCTCTTCGTCTTTGGTGGATCAAGTTCCTTCCAAGGAAAGACACAAGTTTGGAACTGATGAATTTATGAAGTGCAACCATACAGACATTTCACCCCTCCTCCCATACTATTCACTACAAATATTCATTTTGAGTTCCATTAATTTGATAGGAGGGATCTGAGAGCACACCAGAGAACATTTACATAGTCAGGACTTCTTCATTTGCACCCAGATATCCTGTCCAATTCCACAGCCCCCTACAGACTTTGTCCCACATGTAAGCTTGCCCTGATTACAGCCCACCCTATCTAACATATAACGGTTGCCTTTTTGATCTCACCCTGAATTGGAATGGCCTCGAATCCCTACGGAGGTAGATGCCACCGAGCTCAAATGCATCAACACAAAGCTTTAAAAAAACTTGCTCTCCCGTTATTGTACAAATTTTAAATATGGTGACATGACACGTCTGCATTAGGGATAGTACGGAATCCCGTGCGCTTTTGGAGAACGTCCCCCCTTATCACATTTTCCGGTAAATGGCAGTCACAGTGAATTTGTGAAGGGACTCTCGTTTTTCTGCAGGCAGGCTATTTGTCTTTACCAAGTCTTTGCTGAAGATTAGCGAAATTAAGCAGATTCATCGGGGATGTACCAATGGAAGCACTTGTGAGATGGTGCAATCTCTGCCACATCTCATAGTGGCGACAAGCCCGGAGGCATGGATCATCCCTTGCAATATTCGAGTATCGATAAAACTTCAACATTGCAATCTCATATCTCCTGCTTAGTGTTCTGAATACCAAGCTGTCTACAGTACACACAATCCTTCACGGGTTGGACAAGTGTACAATAAAGTAAAATGTCCACATGCCTATACATGTACATATGGAGATGATGTGGGGAGAGTACAAATGTGTGCAATCTTCATTCACCATGCAGGCTTATTC